ATTTTTAAATGATTATTATTTTTAAATTATTGTCCCTGGATTAGTAGGGTACTTTTGTAATAAAGTAGAGGTGGTAGAGGACAGATTTTAAGTATCAATTCTGCTTAAAAAGATGCAATCTCATCCTGTTTACATTAAATAAGCCTGCTCCATAGCAGGTTTAAGCTTACGGACCTGTTGCTATGACAGCAACTCCGGGATGAGCTTCGAAGAAACAAACAATCCAAGATCATGCCAAATCGTCAACAATCAAATCCAGCTAACTGAGTTAGCGACGTACGAAGAACGGGCCCCAGATTCCCAGACTATTAGGTTAGCCTGTTTTGCTTTTTGGAGATGGCTGACCAGCTGGAAAGTGCACAAAACCAAACCAAATCAAATCAAAACTTTAAAACCAGCTAAATATACCTACCTGACTAGCTTGGCCAGGCTGGGAAGACCATCTAAAGGCCAGATTCAAAGCCTATTATGTTGGTCAGACCAATCTAACCAGGTTGGCCAGGCAGGGAAGCTGAGCTGGTTTCCAAGAGAGCAGTGGCTGACCAGCAGGCAAATGGCCCAAACTCCCCTAAAAGTGGCGAAACAGACGAGCCTAACCAGTTAGGCCAGGCTGGGAGACCAGTTAGACCATCTGAAGACCAGATTCCCAGCTTATTAGGATGGTCCGTTTTGCTATTTTGCTGCTGTCCCAGTCTGACCAGCCGACAAGAGCCCCAAACTCCTCTAAAACCAGCAAAATAGACCAACCAAATGGGCTTGGCCAGGCAGGGAAGCTGATCTTCAGATAGTCCAGCTTGTTTACACCAGAGACCAGTGGCTGACCAGCAGACAAATGGCCAAACTCCCCTAAAACTGGCAAAATGGACCAGCCTAGAGAGTTTGTCCAGGCTAGGAGATCAAAACCTCTTTAGGCTGGTTTAAACTTTTTTTTTTCCAAAACATTAATCCAGGAAAAAATAATTTGAAGTATTAACAACTTTTTCTCTCACTTTTTCTCTCTTCCTGCATGTTTCTCCTCACCCCCTCACCTTATACTTCCAAACAAACACTAAACAAACACCAGTCTATTGACTAGTTATCAGTATGCTCTGAAATGTTTATAAAATGAAATGATGTGCCAAATGAATATGCTCACGAGGGGAAAAACATCCCGAGGTAAATGCTCATAATCAGAAACAGGTGTCTCGCAGCAAGCAGGTGTTTGTGTTCGTTAGAGAGAGTTCGAGCAGTAGAGACTTTAATCCTGTGTTCTGATGGAGGGTGCCAGACTTGTTCTAGTATCCAGCTGTGCTCGTTGACCCTTGGCCACTCAAATCGTGTCCAATCAACACAGAGCACATGCAAGCTAGAAACAGTTTGGGAGGTCACTTTTGTGAACAGAACATTCATCCTTCGTTTCAACTCTTTCAAAGTGTGAACTCATTCTCAAATAAGTCATCGTGGGACAGCATAGAGCACTGATCCAGTCAATGACCTGAACACTGCTCCACTGAGTCCAAACATAGCCATCGACCCGCTCCTGCAATGCACGCCAAATCACCGACCCAGAACTACAGTCAGTATTGGCAAAGTCAATGGGATTCACCAGCTCCAACCATTATTGTGGTCAATGAGCCAGTCTTCCACTAAATACAGATTCACCCTCAAGATGGCTCTTCCAAAACACAGGACATGGGAAAGACAGAGGCCAGGAGACCGGCATCCAAATGTAAAGAGGCAATCTGGGACTTCACACATGAAGTATCCAACACCTGGTCTGTAGAGAACTCTCAGCTGATTGAGCTCGCTACATTGAGCTTTGTCCCAAGTTGACTCTCAGATGCAGCTCTGACCTCAACTTGACACAGCAGCAAAAAAAAAAAACTAGCTGCCCAAGGGGTCTGCCTGTCATTTCCCATTCAAAGACTATGTATCCTACCCCAACTAATTCAATTTGAATCATTTTAATGCAAGTGCAGAGGATATAGTATGCAGGTGCAGGGGTCAAAGTGTAAACTTAAGTTTGGGTTCACATTCAGTTTAGAGCTACTCACAATGCATCCTAATTCTGTTAATCCAAATATTGGATGCAAATTTTGTTCTGTTTCTCCAAATATTGTCGACGTTATAGAAAATTATAATTGAACAGCACTTGCTCATGAACTTTCTGTTGTTAATCATTCATCAAAGGTCCTGAAGGAAGTTGGGGCTGAGGACTGGGATTTGAAGAACATTGTTCACACCCTTACCAACAAAAGAAGAGGGGAGGCATCTATCACTTATGCTGAGAGCCATGACCAAGTTAATAATTTGTCAATTTGAAACCTTCCATAACTTTCCTTTCTCAACCAGCTTCACCAAAAAGCCAATCGTGGTCAGTCAAGTTTTGCTGGTCACCATTCGCAAACACTTTGGTGTAACCTGGTGTTTATTCTCGTTATATAAGGTTACACATGCTCAAATCTCTACACTTGTTGCTAGGCATTGGTTGGAGACAAGTCACTGGCGTTCTGGCTGATGGACAAAGATATGTACACCAACATCTTATTGCCATGACGCCTGTTATAGACCGCGGCATCCAGCTGCTTAAACTCATCCGTCTCCTCACTCACAGTCTAGGAGGCAGAGCTACTTCAACTTCATGGGTGAGTCTCCTTGGAAACCAGTTTTGCCGGATACTTGCTGCTTTGCTTTAGTGTGCTTCCACCAAGGAAGAGGGATTGTTGGCGTTCTTGGCAGGCGTTAACTAGTTTTTAAGTTGTAAGGCATATTGGATCTGTGCTGATCATGTGCTACTGGATTTGAAGTGCTGAAGGATTTTTTGGGATGGATTTCAAATGGTTAGTTCCCAATATTGGTGTGGTTGCAATTGGCATTACAATTAAAAAATATCTATTTATATACGTCCATAATCTACTATAAAATCTCAGACAAGTGGCCAAAAAGAAAGCTAAGTATGTACACACATTACAACACAGGAAAAGAATCTACATTCAGTCATTCCAGGCCAGAGGCGGTAAAAGATTGCTGTCTGGATGAGTAAAGATGTCTTTCATTACAAGCGCACTCCTCTTTTATCAAATGCATAAAAGCATTTCACTTTGTCTGCTCATCCATGTCTGTGCGACAGCACTGAAAACAATAAAATGTCCAAAGGTCACCATATTTGTATCTCTCCATCTGCAAATAGTAAGTAAAGGTACTTCGGTATAATTGCACACAAAGGTGAGTGGCGTATTCAGAGAGAAAAAAAAGGAAAGTACGCCTGAGACTTGAAACAGTCAAGGCCAGACGGCAAACAGCAGCGCCATCAGATCGATGGCAAGGCAGTCGTTTAGCCAGTGTTGAGCGAGAACAAATTGTTCAAGCAAAAGAATCAATCTGACATGTCAAGCCTAAAGCTCCTCATCCTAGAAAAATTCTTCTTAACTCAAAAGCGAGAGAAAAGCCAGCACTGGGGAAAAACAGCATTTGGTGAACATGGAAAAGGACATACCTGCATTTCAAGAGGAAATTGTGTCCATAAAATCAAAACTTTGCTCCTTTTTGGAAGGCAGAGAATTTTGTGTCTTTATAAACTCACTGTGTTATGTATATTGTTTTTCATAATTGCAAATTTATATCTATATTTATATAATTTAAACCTTACCTCACAATTATTTTTTAAGCATATTAATTATTTAAGTGTTTGTGTGTGTGTGTGTGTGTGTGTGTGTGTTCCAGTTAAAAAATAAATAAATAAAATAAAAAATAAAATAAAGCAAGTTGTGCAAGATAGTAAGCTAAACAAAAACATTTTAGAGTATACAGAAGACTGGGGCTAGTTTTTTGCAGACTCCACTGAATATTTCTCAGGGTGAAATTGTTTAACTAAATTTTCATATAGGAGCAAGCCTGGCAATCTTACAAAATGCTATTGAACATATCCACCCATATTGTACAGGAAAAAGATACAGTTCAACAAACACAGCTCAGCCTTTTGTGGTCACAATGAAAACTGCCAAACAGTCTAATATAGGCTATACAGAAAAACCACAAATAAAATGTGACTCCCAAATTAATTTCTAGTGATTACATGTAAAGTAGAACATGATCAGTTATTTTTTACAATCTTTTTTAGTAACTGCATTATGAACTAAAGTGAACTGTGTAAAGGAGCACTTGGTGGAACAGAGCGAGTTCATCCTGGCTGTTCAGGTGAAAGACTAGACTGCACTCTTTCTCAAATCAATGCTCAGTTTTGCTTAAATCCATCCACACAAACACATCGATCCCTCTCCCCGCTAACGCTGTTAATTAGCATGCTGTGGCTACATCATCTACACCAGCAGACATGCTAGCACAGCTCTGTAAATATTCCAGCCCGTTTCAGAGGTCGCTATTTGAACTGTGAGAGCTGCTTCAGGCTTGGCAGATTAACATCCGTTGGTTCATGAGATGCTTGCGGTGCATGTCCATTCCTCTCTGCCCTCTTTCTCTCCGGATCATTGTGCTGTTGGACATTGATGTTAGCAGTGTTCCTCCTCTGATTAGTAGTTCTTTCTCATTGACTTTGAGTAACACTACAGGAGTCTTAAACGACTCTTTCTTTTTCCCAACATGCCAGCAGAGCAAATAATCCACCAATTTATGTCTGCACACATCCAAGGATTCAGGGTTAGCGCGGGAGAAATAAGAAGAAAAAGAATGAAAGTTTCAAGTAAAAAGGAGGTTAAATAAAAACAAGAACAAATCAGCCTGTCACTGGTGTATGTGGAAGCGGAAGCAGGAAAACACCAGTCCTGATTAATAGAAATTTCAGCGGGAGATCAGGGAAGCATTAGCCTGACAGCGCGGAGGCTGCCAGACAAGGCCTGAGAAGCACACAGGAAGGCAATGTGCCTGAAGAGGCTCTAATTGAATTTGAAAGGGGTGCCATTTTCTTCATGCAGCGAAAGAGTTTCGTTTGTGGGCGGGAAGCGTTGGCCTGTATTTATTTACTCTCTGTTTTAAGTACCTCTTCAATCTATTTAAATGGAAGAGGGAAGGTTGAGAACCTTTAAACAGGGAACAAAACATGCTATTCTCCTCTTCTGTTTGTTTCTGTTTTGTTCTTGGATATCTCTTGTTAGTCTGACTGCTCTAGCAGTTGTCCATTTGTTTTACGAACATTACATTCTGTCCCTGCTGGTTCAGGAAGTACTTTTGCAGTTGGAACATATAGTTGGATTTGATAAAAGACCTTTTGGGAAACCCAATTTAGAGGCCTTTATTTCTGTATATCATTGAAGTAAATGTGAGTAAACTCCAAAACAAACTGGATCGTTCCATGTCAAATCAACCAGAAACTTCACCCACTTAAAAATGTTTTTAACATAAATAAAAAAATATAAACATAAATAGTGATAAAAGCCAAAATATTAATGTAATTGAAGCATATTTACTAAATAATCCACTTTTTTGTGGAGGGGGGTCAAAATGACAATTTTCACTTGAGATTTGGAGCCAAATTACAGGAAGAAAAAATGATAGGAAGGAAGATGGCAGCATCATTATTTTATTTTTGCACAGAGATTACTTCAGTAATACCTGTTGCATTATATGCCAATGGTGACAGTTTTTTTCCCCCCCAAAGTTTGCATGCCTGTAATTTGAGAAGTATTATGTAAGATATCTTATGTAATGACTTTGATTACTTAATTGTAGGGAATTAATTATTATTATTTATTCAGGTTTTGAGAGGACTCGGATCTGAAGATTCAGAGTCAACCTGATTCGAACTGATTTCAAATTTGTTATTTTACACTTTAAATCAAGGGTCGTCCAGCGAGCCGTGACCTCAGTATATTTTAACAAATTTAATATGTATTTTCCTGGCCACGGTCAATACAGTTATTATAAGTAAGCTATTATAGTAATTATTATAAGTAAGCTACGAGCTAGGTAGCAAGCAAGGGATCTTTTTGGCAACAGTTTTAACCTTGAAATTATATGACACCAACAATGATTCTTTATAAATGAAACATGAATTTTATTGGCTACTCTAGATTACATCACAACTAAGCTAAAACACACAAACACACAAACATACAGTTTCAGAGGAAGGAAATGAGAGTTGACGGAATTCTATGAAGCTTTCAAAGTTCTAACTCGTTTCACGAGTCGTTTTGAATTCACCTGAGAGAATTCACAAAGCAGAGGATTTTAGCTTATGTTTACTGCTTAAATTAGCTCGTTCACCAGTTCAGCAGAGATAAGATTTTGTTCGTTACTTGCGTTCTGCTTGGTTGACCGCTGAAAGCTGAGTCGTTTCTCGTGGCTACTGGATGGCTGCTGGAGGGAAATTCCTTCGCTGATTGGCTGTTGCGGTGACGTCGGAATGACGTTCTTTTGGGAAAGCCCTCGTTGGATTCGTTGGTTGCCGGGTTACGAAGAGCTTCAGCAGTCCTGCTAAAAGCCTGAGTTTGCAAGACTTTGCGTTCTGCAGAGTTACTAAGCTTCTTAGATGGTCTCGCTTGTGCGATGTTACGGCGTGGGAAGCGCTTGTAGCGCTGTTACCAAAAGGAAAGCCAGAGGTCTTGAGCAAGAAAAGCGAGCGAGCGTAAGAGCTTGGTGTCCATTTTTAAGCAGGCTGACTTTTGGTCCATCCCACAGGTCGTGGTCCAATCAGATGGTGGCTGCGGGGTTTAGCCACGCCCCATACTGTTCCTTATCATGCATGAATCACACACTGTTTGTGGCGAGTATTTCTGCAAGTTTTTTAAGAACTTCTTATAAAAATATCATCACCGGAAAATGATGCCGAATATCAATTTTTCACTTACACCAATGTTCTGTGAATAACACAAGCTCTCACCCGATACTAAACTTCACATATCTTACACACATATTAAATGCTTTGTCTGCTAAAAAAGAGTTATAAGACAAATATTAAAATATCATAGATTCCAATAAACACATCAAATATATATATACGGCATAACACATACAGTGGATACATTTTCACTACTTATGAGTTTTAAACGTTTGTCATGCAAGGTTCTGTTTCTTTTGTTGTAACATAAGGACGCGGGTCCGTTGGGGTTTCAGGAAGCAGATGTGATGGGAGTCATGTGTTAGTCACGTCTAGATCGGGCCTGAGGGCACTAGTTAATTTACTCATCCTTTTCCGGTTTGGACATAATGGTTCCATCCATTGGTGG